TGGCCATACGACAACTCCTGAAAAATCACAAGCTTTATTCACGCAATTGCACTACAGAAAAATTTAAAACTTTTCAGACAAAACATCATGCGAAAGGCTTATGAGGCTTAAGAGAATCCATCATGGCAAACAGCACATGCAAACTCCAAATGACTTGGGGGCTTCATGCCAAGCAAAAGAAAGAGACAAGAATCCTGAAGCTGTTGTAAATTTCAGTTTTCCTCTTGGAGGAAAGCAAACTGTTTGTTACTTATCTGGAGGAAAACAAGCTGTATGAATCTCTTCCAGCAACTCGCTTAGCCTATTCCTTCTCATCTTCAGTCTACTTCTTCCAAAGATCTTCTTTGAAGCAAGTTGCAAAAATATATATATATATATATATATTTACAAGCAGGCCTCTACTTTGTTTCTCGACCTTGAGTAAGCCAAAGAGAATATAACCCAACTCTGCAACCAATTGCTGACCTCAACAAGCTGACTTGAGGGCTTCATGCCAAGCAAATTCAAGGAAGTACACCATGCCATCCAAACAAGCAAACTCATCTACCTTTTTTTTGCCACACAGTATAAATCATCTCTTTGATTACAACAAGCCTAGATAATCTTGCATTATGGTGAGAAACAGTTTTCTATTTCCCCTTTTTGAAACAAGCCAAGTTACATTCTTCTAGCACCTACTCCATAAGCAAAGAATTTTTATCACCTACCCTATTTCAAACATCCTTCCAGTACATGCCTAATTTCAAACATTCTGCCAGTTTCAAATCTTCCAAAAGCCTTCATATCGCAAGTCAAGGTACAAGCAACCAAAACTCACCTTCATGCTACCAAATTCCTTGCAAATTAGTAAGAAGATGGCATTTCTCATGCTGCGGAATCTCTCAATCAAGCCTGAAAAAGAAATAAGGGAGTACGTTGGTCAGATCAGGTGCCGGAAGGGAACTAGTAAACAAAAAGGGGGTGCCGGAAGTAGAATTGCTATTAAAGCATAATGTTTTCCAAAGACAAGTTGCAAGAGACCAAGACTCACTTTCATGCTATCAAATTAGACTTCTCATGCTTTATCATGCTTTCGAGCTTTTAAAACAAGAGAATATGTTAGCCAAAATCAGACGCCGGAAAGGTACTCATACACAAACGGATGTGCCGGAAGCATAATTTTCTCAAAGTGCAAGCAAACTCATCTATTAAGCATTTGACAAAATTCACAAGGTGTGATACCAATTCACATACCAAGAAATTTCATTTCATTCAAGCATTTCAAGCAATTCGGGCGTCTGAAAGCAAATTGAAGAATTCATGCTCTTACAACAATACCAATCCACTTCATGCTCTCACGACAATATTGCTCAAGAACATGCTTTAGCAATACTCAGATCGGCACTCAATGCCAACAGAAAAGACATGCTAAATTCCCAAGCAAAAGCAACATGCCAAGCAAAACTTATACACAAGCTTTCCAACCATCCTAGCTAGAATATCCCACCTTTAGAAAATCACTATAAATCAAGCTTACAACCAACAAATCCCAGACTTTCCAGATTAGAACTAGACATATCAAGCTTCATTTTCCCAAAATTTCGTTGCATTTCGAGCTAGGGAAGCATGTCAAACAGATTTCTAAAACAGCCCATGCAGCAGAAACTGTACAGCTCCAGCACCTTAACCCTTACTTTGAAATTCCACCGAAAATTCATTTTTTCTTCAAGTGATGCAAGACCAATTCCAACATAACCATTGAGAAGTCCATTTTTATGTCTCAAAAGCTCCAACTCAGATTCGAAAAGAAACATTTCAAAAGTTCAAAAAAACAGCCAGCAAGCTACTTTGAGATATTTTGACAAGCACTTGGCATGCATACCCAAGTGAGCTTGTATAACTCTTGTTTATCACCAAGCTAGAATCCTAAATCAAAAGCTCAACCTTAGAATTCGATTTCTAGTTCACAAATTCTGGGAAATACAGAGGAACTCAAGCATTCAAGCATAGAAGACAAGCATGCAACAAAGGCATCAACATCAACTCATGAACATGCTTTAGAAAAATGGAGGTAGAGAGCACTAGAATGGGTGGATGATCCTCAATTTTGGATATGTTATAGACAACATAATTTCAAGCAAATTTTGTGAAGCAAGCGCAATCATACGAGTATCATAAGTTAAAGACACATGCAGAAGAAAAATCTGCAAAAACTCACCAGCCATGGATGAATTCAGAAGTTGCAAACCAGCTTTGAGGTATCAGAAAAATTCAAAAAATTCTGCAAATTTTACTGGCTATAGTACTCGAGCAGATGAACAACTTTGATCAAGGAAGTTTTCTGATCCGAGCTTTCGAAATATGACTTATGTACTGATGCACAATACCCACGGGTTTGGGTCTTGAAGAAGAAGAAAGAAGAGAATGAGAGAAAATCAGAAAATAAAGCACATCATGCCAAGTTCAGCCTTTTTATATACAAAAAAGAGGTCAGAGCAAGATTAAAGTAAGAAGAGGAAAAGGTAGAAACCCATACCAACAGTTTTGTTCACACGGAAATTGGCACCCTTCCAGCAACTCGAGCAAATCAAAGAAAAGGGAATCCCAGAAGATTAGTGCGAGCCCTTCCTTGCTAGCACCCACGTTGTAAGCACTCACGTTGCTGCAATAACAAAATA